TCACCTCAGCCCGCACGCCCGGCCGATAGAATTCCTCCAAAATCCCATCAGTCGTTCGTTTTATAGCTTGGTGGCCTGCCATAACACCCTAATGTACCATCTTGAGGACGCACGGCCGTATAGGCTTTGCGGAGCAACCATTTGGTCAACTTCCTTCTTCGTTTGTGATGTGTAGTGTTGGTGAGGTATGCTCTTGATGCCATTACACTATGTTTGTTGATCGCTGCGCCCTCGTCTGCCTGATTGAGTGAAAACAGCTCTCCAAGGTGCGATCTTCTCTCTGTACCTTTTCCACAACATGTGGAGTCGCATCTATAGCGTTCGATGCCACAACAGGTAACTTCATACCCTTGGTTCTTTTTGTTGTCGCTGTATTTACAGTCCTTAAGTCTGGCGATACACTTGGACTTTGCACAGGCTCCCCTGCTGGTGCCGACTACTTATGCAGTCCTGCAACATCCGACGGATCATGTGACGTAGTAGAACCAGAAGCAAAGACTTCCATGTCGATGTTGCCGAGAACGTCGCCATAAAGTGGCTTTTTCATGCAGAGTGCCATTGGCGGTCCTTGTAAGAAAGGAAAGTCAATGTACACCTTTGCCGCTGGAAGCTGCTTTGAAGAGCCTTCTAGAAGGTACACAGTGCGTGTAATACTGGGAAACTTCTTATCGGGTACCAGTGAACGCTTGACAACCACGGTGCTACATCCCGAGTCTTTCAGCACCGTCACACGCTGTCCACCAAGATATGCGGTTGTCATTTGCCTCTGTTGTCTGAGCAGACCAAGACATATCTTCTTTTCGTAACGGTACACTTTCCTCTGCAACTCTAGGGGTACAATCTACGTTCTCCTGTCAAGAGACGTAGTGTCCTAGCTGGCAACAGCACTTGACGCCCCCTTGTGGCGGCTTTCTACATGTAGACACTCGTCAGCTTGATGGTCGGGTTTCCTGCTCTTCCAGCAAGACGAACGCTTCGGGCCTTTCGACCACATCCAACAATCTTCAGCTCGGTGATCTTGCTTGCCACATAAAAATCACTGAGCTTTTGCTTTCCCGGTCTCTTTCTCGCAGTTCTTGCTCGGCATGTCTTCTCTCTCACAAGTTATTTTTTGTTTCCCTTTGGCGAGATTTGTCAGGCTTTTTGCCTCCAAGTAACGATCAGCCGTTTCAACTAGCTGATCGAGCATTCGGAATCCTCGCTCTTTCAAAAAAATGGCAAACTTCTCATCAAATATTTGCATAAATGTTCAGATACAGCGTTGTCCCTCAATTCATCATAAGTTTTTGCTGTTTTCGCCATCTGCAGCCAATGATCGAAGTAACCGAGTAGTCGACCAGCCAATTGTCGCCCTGTCTCAAATTTTTTTGTCTTAGCTTCGCGAAACTTTTCCGACAGCCTTTTTCGCTACACTTTAACCTTTGCAGCAATGTTTGCTTTAGCTTCTCGTAGTCGGTGGCATCCTCCGCAGCCATACGTCCGACAATACTCAAGGCCTCGCCTGAGAGGCATAAGCTTAACGAAAGCGCCCACCTGTGGCTTGGCCATCCCTGGCTGCTGGCTACCCGCTCAAAGCGCTAAATGTACACGTCGAGGTCGTCGCGGCCTTCATTGTAGGAAGAAATAAGCTTGTAAGCGCTTCTGAGCGGTTCGATGGTGGCTTGCACGGGCTCTCCATCGGTTGCAACTGTAACAGCCGAGACCTCAGCAAGACGACACTTCACTTCTAGAAGACTTTGCACTGTTGCCAGACGAGCGATCTCCTGTTCGTGTGCTATTCACGACGCACCCCTATCCTCAGCTCGTCTATCGCGCTCTTTGTTCTGCTGCTCATCGATCCACTCTTTCAGTTCTTTACGCGACAAGCCAAGTCTCTTGCCAATCAGAATATACTTCTCCCAAGCCATTTCCGCCCACTGCCCAAACGAGAAGTGCGGCTCTGGAAGTCTGCGGTGGCTGCAATTTCGATAGAGGCAAAAATGCTGTACGCCCGTGTGCTCAGATTTGGGCGTGCGTTAAGGAACACCAAGAGGTCGAAATTTCCGGAGTCTTCCACGACGGCGTCTCTCATAATCATATGGTGGTTTTGGGACGGTAAACCTCATATATAAATCAATCTGGAAGTTGAAACTACAGCGTGGTCTTACGTCGCGGACGCCAGAAAAATTGTGATGGTTAGGACGGTTCGGCACTTCTAGTATTCTGCAGTGGCGCAGGAAACTGACAGGGAGGCATTTTGAAATATTTACTTAAGGAACTAAAAATGAAGCATTGTCGGTGGTGTGGTCGTCGTCGGAACGTCCACCATAGCACGCGAGAAGACAGAACGAGTGGTCGTCCCGTGATCTGAGGCTCACGGCTTTCAAGAAGTGGCAGCGGCGCCTAAAGCTGGCGGGACCAGACCGACTTGGAGCCCGGAACTGCACTACGCCTGGCCCGAACCCTGAAAGTGCGCCTCGCGTCACCGTGCCACCGCGCTCTTCTTTTTCGTCCCTCCGTGCTCGGTGGTCTGCGCCGACGTTTTCACGCGGTATTGAGACGTGACAGCAACTCTTATTTACGCTTTCCTTTATTCGACCTACTTTTCTGAAAGACCCATGTGTGTGCAATTTAGCACGCGTGTTCGTTAGTTTTTTTTTTAACCTCACAGTTTGCTCTTTCTTTTTCGAACATTCAGTATCATCCTGTGCTCCTAACTCTGTAACAGTTATTTTGTTGTCCTAATATTGTCTCCCAATTCTAATACTTCAACAACTAATAATAATATCTATGTTTTACGTCGGAAAAACACATATAAGAAAGAGAGACGCCGCTGTGGAGAAAGTAAAAAGCTCTAGGAATTTCGACCGGCTGAGTTTTTTAACGTGTACTTGAATCCGTAACCACATGGCTTCTAGGATTTTCGCCTTCATTTTCAAAGCCAGGGCCAAGATTTTATACAGTGGCTACCAAGTTAGCAATCACACACCATATCGACAAGACCTAGAGTGCGGGAGCGCGGGGGCGCGCGCATCGAGGCACCCTAACAAGACCGCCATGGAGGGTCCACCTACCAACCTAGGTTCGATTCATCCTTGTAGCGTTGTAACTTGTTTGCCGTTTTCATAAGAAACCACTATACCCATTGCTTTCGCGTTTGCTGCGGACACAATTAGAAGATGGCCTGGGCAACATTTTTGACCGGGCTAGTTGGTGAAGTTTCATATTAGCTAACAGCACACTCTGAGACACGAACGAAAGAAAGGCATACGTAGACAGGCGCTGACTGACAAATTGTAAGTCATCGCTTGCGTTCGTGTGTCTCTTCTACGGCCGCGGATCAGAGTGCGCTGTAAGCGGTAATGGTGTCTACGACGGTAATTTGGAAACCGCTACACACCGTGCCTGTGCTTCTCGCTATGATATAAAGAACGTTGTGCCCGAGAGAATTTCGACAAGAATACTTGTACTGCAGAATGCCGATGCACTTTTTTGTTACAGTAACACCAAAAAGAAAAAAATGTTCGTACAGATGGTTCCCCCTAAATATTCAAGAATGTCTCACCCGCAGGTCGCTTTGAAAACCAAGTGCATGATTAAAGTAGAAGTCACGATATATACTGCTGAATTCTGAGTAGAATTAGAAGACAAACAAATTTTTGGTGTGATGCTATGGCCGTGGTTATACCTTTGTCCGGGAACACATACATTTGACTCTCGTCACACAAACTTAAGGGCATACAAGTGGTGTTACGTATCCCCTGCTAAAGGCTAGACCACAACAGGAACGTAATCGTCGCGTTTAGTTAGTTTGTCTCGTTAACTTGAACAAACACACACTACTCAGCAGATGTTTCTGCAGTGGTAGTTTTATCAATTGAAAATTAACTCGGGTATCGCGATTAACTCACGTGGATTCTCTGCATTGCGACGATGGCTACATGTAAGCTCAACTTTAAATACTACCGTTTAATTTAAGATTCAGAGAGAGAGACCGTCCGTGGAGGTCTCTAACGTTACGCAATTTTAGATTATTTGTCAACGCAAGTGTTCGGATGTCGTATCACCATTGAAGTCTATGTTTTTTGATGACCAAACATTTGACTAATTCTTCAATGACGTCTGCGTCTTTATAGAAAGAATATATTGGAATACTGCTAGTTAACAATCATCTGAAAGCCTCTTTCTTTCTCGAACAGTCACCAAAACGTATCACTAACAAAATAAATACCATTTTGTTTTCTCTTCTGCTCTGCTTATATAGATGTCGCTACCATTACCGTTTTTCCCGTTGTCCCATGTTCTCCTGCGGTAAACCATCATTTGCAAACATTCGGAAGCCTTGTAAGACCCTCTATAGCTAGGAAAAATACATTACCATACCTTCACACGAACGATCCTATTATTATATCATCACTAATTTTTTCATCACAATGCACAGAGATTTCAGCGTTTGACTTGTTAATGTGTGATTACCACACACACCCAGGTTCTGGGGTACAGTCCGAGAAGGTGGTCAATGCTATAGCAAATAACTTCTGAGCTGCACGAATTCCTGAAGCCTGCTAATTCATTCTTTACCCACTGCTAAGAAAATAAATTTTTCTTGCCTTTTTATGTATGCGTAACTGACACATAAAAAAAAGATACTGGCTGAAATTTATTTTAAGGATGTCAATTTTAGTGCAGCGCTTGTCAATGCTTTATTTTCTTACGTGCAGAAGATTCAGGTTGCGGCGAATAAAGTCGTGAAAAGGCATGCGTCTCAGAGCGGGCTCATGAACAAGTTTCGGCTATGTAAACGTCTCGCCTTCATGCGCCAATATCCAAATATCATGTACCACGTCATTTTGTAGTGGACCCTTATGTTCTAAGAGCATGCACAGAAACGGAAATTGAAAATAGCTCTTAAACCTACTTTCAATTGTGCGTGTGCGTAGCATGTCATATTTTGAAGATTTTAAGACTCCTCTCATTTCTGTCGAGTAACTGTAAGTGATTTCGCTGCATCTTTATCTCAGGTTGCGCATCGACGGGCCCCCACTTCAATCCGTACGGAATGAACCATGGTGGTCCGACAGCTTATGATCGGTAAGATTTTTCGGATTTCTTTTATTTCTGTGAGAAATACCTCCTTTCAACAAATCCTACTGTTCGTGTAAGCCGGTAATTTGGCATACTTTTCTGGACGAACACATATACATTTCGATATGTTAATCTTGATAGTATAAAAAAGCATGATTTTGCTCATTGAGTACAAGTCTGTGTTATACCTTGCATATAAAAGATGCATTCAAAACGAAAGTTTGAAGTGATATTTACTGCGTTGCTCTTCTGTATTAGTGGTCCTGTGAGGCAGTAGTTTGCAGAATATGCATACAAGTATAACTCACCGTTTGCAGCATATGCATACGCGTATAACTCACCTAACTGCCTATAGTTGCCGCTTATGCTGCTTATTAAAATTACAGGAGTGATGGGATATGACACTTTAAATCCATTCAATTTCTTCCTGATTTTTATCAGCACGAGAAGGCAACAAATATACACCGCATTATTATCGAATGATATCTGACATCGAACGCGGTTCTGCTTCAGATATCAAAAAAAAGTGAAAAACAGAGCAAAACACGGGACTTTGAGAGAGATGGGCGAAGCAGTGTCTTCGCAGATCCGATGAATCCTCCTCGCCTCTTAGTTCTTAAAACACGTCAACTACGTCAGCACTAAGCGGTAGATCTTATTAGCATTTCGCGCTTCTCGGCTACACACTGTTATCGCTGCTTGCACAGTTTTAAACACTCAAAATGAAGTGTGAGCCGGTGATTATGCACAATATTCATGCGAGACATGAAAGAACGGATAAGCAGCTGCATGGCAAAGCAGTGAAGAAGCAGAATCCTATTTGATATTCTGCGTATATGGACCAATGAATGGCATGTACACATTAGACGTCACAGTAACTGCTGGTCATTCCATGCCAAATCATCCAGCGTTTTTCCGGCCAACGTCAATATGACTGAAAAAATTCCACGTGTTTCTCACAATTCGAATAATTGATTTATATGCGGGGTTTAACGTCCGAAAAGCACCGTGCGAATATGAGAGACGCCGTAGTGGAGGGCTCGGGAAATCGCGGATACCAGGGGTTCTTCAAAATGCACCGAAATATTAGCACACGGGCCTACAGCATTTCTGCCTCGATTGAAAATGCAGCCACTGCAGCCAGTATTCGATCCCGTGACCTGAGGGTGTTTCTCGAAGTTCATCACTCGGCCTGCTCGTTAATTGCCGTTTCGTAAATGTTGATTGATTGATTCATATGTGGGGTTTAACGTCCCAAAACCACTATTTGATTATGAGAGACGCCGTAGTGGAGGGCTCCGGAATTTTTGACCACCGGGGGTTCTATAACGTGCACCCAAATCTCAGTACATGGGCCTACAATATTTCCGCCTTCATCGGAAATGCAGCCGCCACAGCCGGGATTTGATCCCGCGACCTGCGGGTCAGCAGCCGACTACCTTAGCCACTAGACCACCGTGGCGGGGCTTTCGAAAATGTTTCCTGCCTATTTATGAGTGTCTGTAGCTTTGCGCCGACTGAGCTGGAGTGCATCAAACCACAATTTATTTTTCAATAAAAGCTTTTTATTGCGCTCAATAAAATTGTATTTGTGGCAAGGTAATGAAGTAACCTAACTGTAAAAATAATGACTTACTCATGTATACAAATTCTTCGAGAGCTTTTCTTACGAGTAATATTGAAGAAAGTTGCCAAGTTTGCGATTTTTCCAGGAACATGGCAAGCTCAATAGAAACAAATAAAATATGTGCTGGTTGCCTGTTTGACATACTACAAAATTAAAAATATTTTCGGCGCTGAAGCAGATAGTCTGAAAAAAATGCAAATAACGCTCTTTGGGGCAAAAACAATGTATTCTGATTCAAAAAAACACTCCTTGGTGGTCGGACTAAGAACATGCACAATATCTCTATTGAAAGCCCTATGTATTAGCTAAGAATACGTGAAGTTACTGGAGGGTAACAATGTAATTATTTGATAAATATTTTTTTTAAATAGTGTATCTTCACTAGATTTTCGTCTACATATTTCACGCAGAATGACGCCCCGGCAAGGGCAGTCTTCTCTATTACTTGATTGATAGTATGAATGTGGTCAATTGTTGAGTAGCCTGTTCGAAATCCTGCTTGTTCCTTTGGTTGATTGAATTCTAATGTTTTCTTTACTCTGTTAGCAATTACCTTTGTAAATAGCTTGTATACTTCAGAGAGCAAGCTGATCGGCCTGTAATTCTTCAAGTCCTTGTCATCGCCTTTCTTATGTATTAAGATGATATTAGCGTTCTTCCAAGGCTCTGGTACTCTTCCCGCCAGGAGACACCTCGTAATTAGGGTGGATAGTTTCTCTAACACAATCTGTCCTCCATTTTTCAGCAGATCTGATGTTACCTGATCCTCACCAGCAGCTTTGCCTCTTTGCATGCTCTCCAAAGTTTTTCTGACTTCTTCTATGATTACTGGTGGGGTGTCATCTGGGTTACTGCTAGTTCTTATAGTATTAAGGTCGTGGTTGTCTCGGCTACTGTACAGATCTCTGTAAAACTCGTCCGCTATTTTAACTATCCTATCCATATTGGTAGTTATTTTGCCTTCTTTGTCCCTTAGTGCATGCATCCGATGTTTGCCTATCCCAAGTTTCCTCTTCACTGCTTTGACACTTCCTCCGTTTTTCAGGTAATAGAGAAATGCTCAGAGTATAACCAACCACTATACATAGCCTTCATAGATTATAAGAAGGCATTTGATTCAGTAGAAATATCAGCCGTCATGCAGGCACTGCGGAATCAGGGCGTAGATGAAGTATACATAAACATTCTGGAAGAAATCTACAGGGAATCAACTGCTACCATAGTGCTTCATAAAGAAAGCAACAGAATACCAATCAAGAAGGGTGTAAGGCAGGGGGACACAATCTCCCCAATGCTATTTACCGCGTGTGCACAGGAGGTTTTCAGAAGCCTAGAATGGGAACAGTTAGGGATAAGAGTTAATGGAGAATACCTTAGTAACCTGCGCTTCGCCGATGACATTGCATTGCTGAGTAACTCAGGGTACGAATCGCAACTCATGATTACGGAGTTAGACATGGAGAGCAGAAAGGTGGGTCTTAAAATTAATCTGCAGAAAACGAAAGTAATGTACAACAGCCTCGGAAAGTAGCAGCGCTTCGAGATAGGTAATAGTGTACTTGAAGGTGTAAAAGACTATGTCTACTTAGGGCAGGTAATAACCGCGTAGCCGAACCACGAGATTGAAGTAACTAGAAGAATAAGAATGGGATGGAGCACATTCGGCAAGCACTCTCAAATTATAACAGGTAGATTGCCACTATACCTCAAGTGGAAGGTATATAACAGCTGTACCTTGCCGGTACTCAGCTACGGAGCAGAAACCTGGAGACTTACAAAGAGGGTTCAGCTTAAATTGAGGACGACGCAGCGAGCAATGGAAAGAAAAATGGTAGGTGTAAGCTTAAGAGACAAGAAGAAAGGAGAGTGGATTAGGGGACAAACGGGGGTTAAGGATATCATAGTTGAAATAAAGAAGAGGAAATGGACATGGGCTGGGCATGTAGCGCGTAGACAGGAAAACCACTGGTCATTAAGGGTAACTAGCTGGATTCCCAGAGAAGGGAAGCGGGTTAGGGGGAGACAGAAGGTTAGGTGGGCAGATGAGATTCAGAAGTTTGCGGGTATAAATGGGCAGCAGCAAGCACAGGACGGGGTTAACTGGCGGAACATGGGAGAGGCCTTTGTCCGGCAGTGGACGCAGTCAGGCTGATGATGAAGGGCAGTCTTCAGCCAAAGGCCCCTGAGCAGGGATAGAGAGAGCAAATTTGTAGCTGACTACACAACAATCGAAAAGGAAATGGGGTTATTATCTGCCTTTTATTGCCCACAGAGGTGCGCTACAATGAATATGACTAGAGTTTGGAGACCAGTAGCGTAGCAAAAAAAAAGGGATAAAAATATTTGGGGGGGGAATGGTAAGGGGGAGGTGATTTCGTTCACTGTTTTTGTACGTTCGTAAGTGTGTCTATAATTGTGCGCATATGTATGCACATGCGCAACTTAAAAACACAAGTTGCATTGAGGAAAGGCCATAAGGCTGCTTTAGTTACGTAGGCGCAAAGCTGGCGGACAAACATGCTTTCAAAAAACAGCATTTCTCAAGTTCAAAAATATAACCTTCTATTAGCTTCACCGTTCTTTAGCTAATACACGGGTCTTTCAAATGATATCTTGTGCACATTTTTTGTCCGACTACCATGGCAAAACTTTTCGTCCTGAATAACAGCGCTTCCCCCCCCCCCAAAAAAAAGCGAAATTTGCAATTTTGTTTTAGTCTATCTTATGTAACTTAAGCACCTAAATCATTTTTTAATTTGTACCATGTCGAACAGGCTACCTGCGTATATTTTATTTGTGTCCATTTAGCTGGCCATATACCAGAAAAAAAAACTTCCTGATTTGGCAGTTCCCTTTAATTCTGGTCGTGATAAAGCCCTCGAAAAATTTATATACATAACCAATTCATTGCTTTTTTCCTGTTAGATTACTTCATTGTCTTGCCAAAAATACTATTTTATTGAGTGCATTTGGAAAACTTCTTTTTAAAAAATGTTTTTACGCCCTATAGCTCAGAGAACGCCAAACTACGGACTCTCAGGAATAGGAAGGAAAATTTGTGGCAATGGAAATAAATGCCCAGGACGAATTGGCCCTTAGAGAGGCAAGTGAACATTTTTTCAACCATAATCTTGGTGGTCGAAAAACACTGGGTGGTTTGACATGGAATGACACTGCTTTCTTCGTCACAGAAAGGCGCAAAAAGGACAAGTCCCATCAGGCTTAGGATTAGGCTTGTGCTTTATGTTCCTGTACTTTGTCATCGTTCTCGACAAACAAATTTTGGCACTGTGCGAAATAAAACTAGTTGGAAGTGTTGGAAGTCAGTGCTATTTCTATTTACCCTGTCTCTTTTTTTCTATGTTCAAGCACTGGAAAAACTTCCAAATATGACTACGCAGCATCTAGCCCAAAACTTGCAAATATGAATACGTAGCAACTATCGCAAACTTGCACTCTTGTAAGGACGAGAAATACAAGAAGAAAATATTGCGCTTGTTTTTTTTTCTATTTGGAGAGTCTGGTGAGTGGCCCTTTAAAGCAGAAGAGTTGTGTTGAATTCCCACTCAAACATTTTTGTTTGTGTTGTCTGTATGTACAGCGCCTCTTCTATTTTATCAACGCCAGCCAGATGCGCCCAATTCAGCCATTCACCACCCTCTCCTGTAGCTTTTTCCTGCTCTCGCCTATTGCCTAGCCTTCGCGTGTGCTTTGTGGGCATTGGGAAGAGAGCCCATCATTAGCCCCTCATGACGAAAATCGTATAAAGTTTCTTGTGTTCACTTGTGTACACATCCGTGGAGCGGCATCTTGTATTTCTCGTGTTTATAATACTGGTAGTTTCGCTAGATCAGTAAAATATACGGTGTTTTGAGATAGCGTGTCACCAATTTCGGAACTATGCGGACAACCAATGGGGAAGTGTCACTACAACGAAACTGCATGCGCAGACTTTAGGAACTCTGTGATGCATTGGCGGCATTGCTTCGAGCCACAGAGAAGAAGACCGAAGGAAGGAATCTGACAGACGCATAATATTGGAGTGGGAAGCACGTCTATCAAATATCGGGGGAAAGCGCTCGGACGCACGTATGAAGCGAGCCAGGTCACCCCTCATATAGCAGCACATCACGAATAAATCTTGAAACAAGACGGACCGCCAGCTCCTATTGAGAAGCGAGCATTTGCACTGACAATGAAAGAAATAAAGAAGGCGTGGCCGTGTATCTCAGTTTTTCGCTAGGTGTAAACAACACGGACGTCCGAACTTTTGTGAAACGAGCTCTTTAACAATATCGCGAGACAACCGCCTCTAACAGTCTCACCACAGTGCGCCCACGAGCAGCATTCACTGCGCGTGGCGTTGTTGCGTGGTTTGGGCGACCCTCCTTACGCTTTTCTACAATGTTTTCTGCACCTTCGTAGGATGGAACGGGAACCTGCGATTTCTGTAACGATCCATTGGCCATATAAAAATAGTTCTGGGCTCCGACGTACTTGCTGTCCGCGCTTCCTGTTAGATGATGATGTCACCGATCAGCGGTGCACAGCTTGTGGCACCCAGCGCTGGTGGAGGAAGAACTATTGGGAGGCTTTTTAGTGACAAAAACGCACGATTTATATACATATTTAAACAGGTCTAACACACTAGTCATCAAGACGCGCCTTTACATGAGACACAACAGACCCAACCGAAGGCCAGAGAGAGAAAGCTCGCCGAGAGCACACGCGACGCGCTTTTTATATCCGCAGTCCATGCACCCGCTTTTACTCAAACACACACGGTTACAGCCAGTGACGCCGATGCGCGTTTCCTGCTGTGTAAACGGGCACCTCCCGCGTTTCTGGTAGATGCGGAGCGCGTTTGGGTGGTACACCGATGAGCGTTGATTGCAAATGGGGTCGTTGCATTGACAGGTATAACAATGAGAACAAGTATATGCCCACATCGTGGAAAGTGTGGAAAATTGGTCTAAGTCATTTTGGTCAAATTATGCGGTGAGACCAGACACAAAGAAAGAAGCACGACAAACAAGTGCTTGTTTGTCTCGCTCCTTTCTTCGTGCCTCGTCCCACCGCGCAGTTCGACCAAAATGTGTCCACATATCAGATGGGTTTGTGCTCTGAAATATAGTGAAACGCACATAGTTAGTCATACTAAATGGCGAAACACCGATCATGTCTTTCGAGTGATCAAGTATATGCTGCTTTCATTCTGTAGTTTATTATATTTTGACATGGAACTTCTTTTTCAAGTCACGTGGGAGACCTGGGAAACATCGAAGCCGATGAAAATGGTTCTGCTCTGTTTATTATGGTGGACCATCTTTTGACATTAAATGGCAACAACTCTATCATAGGTCGCGCTGTTGTGGTAAGTAGCAGGCACTTCTGACCAATTTAAAATACAGATCACAAATGTTCACTTTTAATGTTTGCTGTTGTGAAGAGCAAAACATACGCTTACGGATTTCTTTCTCCAAAGCAAAATGAATTCTTTTGTGTAAGCGTATGTAAACGATATCTCGTAAGCATTGTTTTCATACAGTCGTAAGCTTTTGTACAATATAATGAACGTTAATTGCTATTGCTGCATTTATGACAAGTTTAACACCGCGTGGACGCCAAGCAATTGTATCCAGTATCACTACACACCTTATGCCACCATGTTGCTTAGCACTCTACAAGTCTACGATGCCAAAGGCGGCATTGCATTCGATGTGACCTATCAACTACTACTATTAAAGACGCCTGGCTAGTAAAACAACGAACTTTTTAGTTTTCACTGAATTCTACAAGAAAGAGCAATTGATTGCCACAAAATGTGATATTTCGCTGCGTTTTCGGGTATCACACTATATACTTGGTAGAGCACGATCTTTGCCGTCATCATCACTCACCGTACACCAAATACACAACAGTAACAAGTAGGAGAAAGCTATTGCCATGAGATAAAATCACTGTAGCACTTGTGGTGTGTGCTTCTTATTGTCTCCATTTTGATCATGTGATATGTATTGTAGCAGCACCCACCCCAGTAAAAGTTGGACGATATCTGTACGCGCATCCTAATGTAATCCAAGTGTCAAGATGTGCGTAAAGTTGTTGCGTTTGCGTATAATTTATGTGCTCAAACTCTTGAAATTAAAAAAAAAAGTTCCCTCACTAGAAGCATAAACTTCTTCTTGAAATGTTTACGAGCAGAGGAATGAGGGAGAACGGCAGCTGCCAGCAGTTTTTGCCCAAGCACAGCAACCACGAGCTCGTGCCGATGGCGATGCCAGTGAGGCAATAAGCAATCACAATTTTTCTCAATGCATTATATCTGGTTCTTTTTTAGGCTGCGTTCATCGCATGATAATACGTTAATTTTGTAAAAGAATAAAAACAAAATAATAAAAAATACCGCGGTTTCATTTAGGACTGCTTGTGTGAATCTGAAAAAGTACACATGCCTGACATAACTGGTATTTATAAATGGTGTCATTTTCCGTAATGAGGAAAACGTGTATGAAGAATTGTTATATAACAATTACGTGGAAAATAAAAGAGTATATAATAGCATATATTATATTTCTTCATCCTGAACCCGAAGCTGTAGCTGAGAACGAATGTGAGGGCTTGTTGAATATTTTATTCAAGAACGAGAACAATGAAGTCTGGGCACGAGAGGAAAGCTCGTGCCTGAGGTGTGCCAACAAGTTTTGGGTAGACACTCGACGCGTTTTAATCTCTTTGAACCATTCAACCTTTGTTTTCGCTCCATTATACCGGCAAATACACCTTTTCTTCTAATTTTATAGTGCCGAAAAACCCGTGACTCTGCGACCCAAGCGACCCGATGAAATTACTTCACCGCAACGAACATGGAGCTCAGAAAAGGCAAATGAACGGCTTAGTAAGCTCTGCAGACGTGTTTACGAGAAGAAGCACGCCAACTGATCGACTCTAACCAATACGCCTCACCGGATCCTCATGTGGAGCACGACCAGCTGAAAGCAAGCAACGTAGGCCTGCGGACGCTCAACTTATATATCGAAGCACACCTCACCAACGACAAAGGCGCAGAAGGTTATGTCTCCGTAGCAGAATATGAAGACAGCACTGCTGCTACGCTGGCGTTGCCGAGTCACCACATGGAGGTGCTGAAGGCCTCGACGTCCAGGATCCCCGACAGTGCGGCAAACAACATCGCGAACGAAGGTATCATCACTGAAGGTAGCCGTGCTTTCTGCGATCAGATGATACACGGGCTTATCGGCTCTCGTCTGCTTAAACTTGAGCTGCTTCAATTGAACGGAAGCTCAACGCAGTGGTAACCTTTCTGGGATAAGTTCAGGCACTCGGTTCACGAAAAACCCAGCCCATCGAACATCGAATAGTTCCACTCTTAGAAGAGCTAGTGACTGGACAGGCATGTAAGGCCATCGACGGCCTTCAAGCCACGGAGCAGTCATAAAAAGGCGCCATCACTCTACTAAGGGAGCACTTTGGAAAAAAGTAGATAATTGTACAACAACGCTTGGCAAAGCTGCGAATGATCAAGCCAGTAAAGTCTTCCAGTGATGTGGCTTTGTTGCGAAACCTATTGGGCACCATCCATATCAAAATCAGAGAACTTGAGATCTTCGGATGTCTGGAGGTATCATATCCTACCATATTCATCGAGGTCATCACTAAATCGATTCCCAGAGATATCAAGGTAGAGTATTTCAAACAGCAGAGCAGCCAGACGAACGTCGAGGCGCTTGCAACGCCAGAGACGGAACTTCAGGAGATACTCGATTAAGTGCGCATGGAGGTGGCGGTTCATAAGAAACGTGCCTCTTTGTGGACGTCTGTGGTCTTGGTGCCCCAGACCACCGACAAAACACGCTTCATGAGGGTCGACCCACGGCGTCTGATTTGATCAGCCATGCAAGGATTGAAAAAGGTACCTGTTTTTTTTTGCCATTCTGCAGGACACACTTCGGATGTATGCACATCCGTCATTACCTTGCATGAAAGAAAGAACGGCCTAGCAAAGGCCGGCAGATGCTTCAAGTGCACCATCAAAGGACGTCAGTCTAATGATTGCCACCGTCATGTAATTCGTTATGGGTGCAATGGAAGGCACGCAACAGATGTTTGCGATCCCGTATACGCTCAGAAGCAGCACTCAACGAATCAAGGACCCCTAGCTTGCATGTGAAATTGAACAAGTAGTCATCGCAAAATACTGAGAACATAGTGCTGCTACAGACGTTCAGAACAGACTTGATAAACCAATGCGAGTCCAGCTTTATTAGAGGTGTCTTTGACAATTGAAGGCAACAGACATTCATTATTTAGAGAAGACATCTCTAAAAAGCGAAGACTACCCACAGTGCGCACCATCGAAATGGATGTCAAGAAGTTTGGAGAGGAGCAAGCGGAGCATAGAAAAGATAACTGAACATTGTAAAAGTGACAAAATGAACCAATATGAACATTCCAGATACGAAATAGAAGCGATAAAAGTCCCGTTGCTCTGTGAACAGCTGATTGAAATGCCAACGACAAACATGGTTTTGCACCAGCTATTCGATGAAAAGAAGTTTATTGCTGACATGAATGTTATTCCTGGTCTAAAAGCAGAATCTGGTATAAGCTTGCTTGTAGGAGTGGACCAGATGTGCATAACAATGCTCAATGAAGTTCATTCATATTAGCAGGATTGAAGCTTAGCTGCTTTTAACACGACGCTTATGTGGACGTTTCAAGGACCTATACAGTGTGAGGAACAGCGCTTTAAGTGTGCCGCTACTACTATGATCAATGTACTTCACACGATTTGCGTGGACACAGACATGCCTCGCTCTCGGCAACAACTCTCGTATCCCGGTATCGTGAACGGGAACGAGACAGTCTGGTCATTCAATGATCGAGATGTGCGTCACAACGATTGGTGATTTGAAGTTGGACTTCCGTCTAGAGCACTGAGCTCAACTCAAGCAAAGGACCAAGCAGCAGCCTAGAAAAAGCTTCGCAGATCAACACGACACATTGCCGCAAGGTCAGAACTCAAGCAACGACACGACAAGGCGATCAGGCACCTCCACTCCGAATAACGCTCTGGAAAACATTCTTTAGAAGACAAGGACACGTTTGTGAACGGCAGGCGCACCGTTAGGATACGAAAACGCCTTAAAGAAGCTCATATCACGTGCGGCAAGAAAACACCAGTGCGATACTGCCGAACCGGTACCTCAGCTCATCGTTATGCCTGCTCACCGAGAAGTACACCAAGGTGGTGCTTGTGCAACGTTAACTGAAATTTGTGCTTGCTTTGGGTGGGGAGGCCCACGCACGTGGTTAAAAGTTAAATTGGAAAGTGTTCAACGGGTGCTTGGTTTCGAGGAAACGTGACAAGTGCACTGAGAGCAACTAGACAGTGCGATCGTGTGCAGCAGGTCGTCAGAAGTGACAAAAGCGGATTTGTAGGGCTGGCTAGTGTGGCGCTAATCATGTAGGACTAGTGCTTTAAGCAAGTGTGCCTTAGTTATTCTTAATCATACGCTTGACAGTCATTCTGAATATATTTACCTTCCTTTCACAATCATAATAAATCAAGCTATTCACTTCAGGCCGCGCAGTGTGCTGAATATTTTGTTCAAGAAAGAGGAGAACAAAGTGTGAGCACGAGAGAATAGCTCGTGCCTGGTGTGTGCCAACGAGCGTTTGCTGGACACTCAACGCATTGTAATCTCTCTGAGTCATTAAACCTTTGTTCTCGCCTCATTCTACCGGCAAAGACACCCTTTTTTCTACAGAGCTTTTACAATTGCCAGGCCTTGTCTATAAATGTGATGAAGTTAGTAAATATTCTAGATTCAGATGTGAACTGTAGATGTACATGTAACATTACGAAATTAGCGGCGAAGGGGAACGTGCGTGTAGCTCACGGAATTTATCTGACATAGGTTTTCTACATGATTCGATCTGTAACATGATATTCTTTAGAAATATATTGTCACGTGATTATAAATAGCACAACCTTTGTTTATAGGAGCACTGGACGTCGAGTCGAACCGGTCACACGAGCTCATCGTATAGTCTTTTTTCTCACATTGGCGCATACACGCATTGACATTGCCCAATCTCGCAACATGGCCTTGGCTATATATTACCCACGTAATAAAGTAATAATTTCATCTTCCGCGCTTTGTACACTGAGAGAAAAAAGAGTCTTAGTGAATAAAAACCCATGCATTGCCATCGAAAGCAGAAGTAAGGAAACCCAGCATCTAAACACCTTTAGAAACATTTAACGGCTTCTGAAAACATTATCTGGATCAAATATAGTATAAAAAAACAACATAGCTCCAGTCAGTAGGGAGTTTGATGAAATGTAGGTATTCAGGCTTAGAATCGCTCTAAAATATTTTTGACAGAGCATGTTTTCTTTTTTTCCTAAGGCATCACTAATAGTTTCATTGTGGTCCCCGCTTGCTTGGTGGCCTTTGAGAAATATTTACATTTACTAGTAAAGCGATGCCACCAAGGTCATCAAATACGCTCAGAGCTAGTAAACAAATGCATTTATAACTGTTAACTTTCTTAAAACCTGAAAAGTGGTTATGGCGGCTCATGAACGCTAGGCCACGGGTGTAATTTTCGACAGTGTCCATCGCTTTACTACAGCCTGAATGCAGTACCTCTCGATTCATTTGATTTGGGAGCACATCACTGAGCCTATAATGAAGTAGATATATTCATATTTATTGTTTAGTAACAATGACCCCTTAGCTTGGGATTCAATCTTCTATTCCGATCTTAAATTTGCACTTGGCAAACTTATGGTAAGATTGTCTTGGCTGAAATATTCTCGTTCTTGGTATTCAGTCAATCAATCAGTCAATCTTATTTTTCTTCGCACTAACATAGGTGTATGTATCCGTTAGGTGTTCTTATGTTATATTCTTTTTTACAAACGCTAATGAACAGCGTTTAGTGGTAGGAATAACACACATTCGAATTGCCGTGTTATAGTTTTGAGCTATGCTCTAACAACATGTTCAAAGCAACTGTAGTTTTTCTGTGACAGCCACAGTAGTTGAACATAAAGCACATATGACATGCTAAGGTTTAAAGCTAGAGAGCCTTAACCATAGTACTCACACCTAAGATTCACGCTCTACAATGGTGTTATTATATGCACCAGGCGGAGCCTAGAGTGCTTGTGCTTGTGTGCGTATTTTAGAGGTTACAAGTGACAGTAGCTGAGGAGAAAGGCAGTCTTGTATCCACTGTATGACTCGGATGAAGGAGCTTATAGAGACGGTAATGGTGCTCGCACTTAGAATGCTATGCTGTTGCAGTAAATAAGCGGATGTCAAGAAAGCTTTTAAAAAAAGAAACTGCTCGAGTGGATATTATGCTTAGAAAGCAAAGCCGGACCTACCGACATTTTACTCCAGGCACAATAAGACGTTAGCAAAGAGCGCAAGAACAGCGTTTGGCAGGCTCACTGTACAAACTTAATATCGGGAAATTTCTCGGATAGATACTGCTCAACATGCGTCGTCGGTATTCTTGGTTTACTTCAGAAGCCTCAAAGCCTTGGAACATGATAGTTGAGAGCAAGCTACCTGTGCTACTGCAAATTTATTACTTTTGTTAGGAGCATAGATCTCTTATTACAAGCTTATAGTAGCATTCGCGATATCAAACCACAAGCACTTTAGGTGGGATTTGGTATCATGCGCGGAAGCCATGTCATGGAGTAGACTCGAAGCAAATGCTGGTTTCACTTCTGCTGCCAAGACATAGAAAAAGCGTCTACTCCACAATTTTTAAGCCTTTTTCGTTGAGGTCTGCCGAAACCGTTGATTTGTACAGATTTTTTTCATGGTAAATTTTTTTTTCAGGTGCACGCCAACGAAGATGACCTGGGCTGCGGCGGCCAAAACGATAGCCTAACGACCGGACATGCAGGAGGTCGCCTAGCGTGCTGCGTCATCGGGATAGCAAAGTCGAAACGAAAGAATGAGCAACTTCATTAAAATGCAAATGATGAATGTTTATACTCTAGGGGTAATAAAGTGAGCAAGGAAGGTGAACGAGCATAGCATCCGATTTCTTACCTTGCACTAAGCGGAGGTGAAATGCAAGTAAAGATGTGAATGAACGCGGGCCGTAAAATGTAGTGACTGCGGCAGCTGTATATATATAATATATATGTGTGCGTGTGTGTGTGTGTCAGCACAAGTTGTCGCTCAATCTGTGGGTATATTATAGGAAGAAAGAATATTTGGCGATTTTGACGCACAAGTTAAAACAGTTTTTATTGACGTTTAGGTCATGAGCCCAGCCTAAACGTCAATAAAACTGTTTTAATTTGCGCATGTTTTGATGTCATTCGGCCGAGTGAAAGAAAATACTTCTATGGGCATACATATACGCCAGTATATGACTGCAGATTGGTACTATTTAAACACATGAAAACAAGTATATAAAAATTTACAGAAATGTCACTTCGAATGATGCATCCCCTGGTTCCTCTGGCAACCCAATCGTTCAGTGCAGAAACGCTGATGCCATTACATCACAGCTCAGATGACTGCACGTTCCCAGCCATGGAACGTATTCTGCCTCTAAAAATATCTATGTTTTTCGCACTATTAAAGTAGCTAGGGAGAGATATGATCAGAAATGCATGTTTCTAGACTGTCTGCTTACTTGTCAGAATCAGTGGTTCCTAAAGGTCTCATAATTTATTTATTTATTTATTTATTTATTTATTTATTTATTTATTTATTTATTTATTTATTTATAATATCCTCAGGGCCAAATGGCATTACAGAGGGGAGTGGATTACATTGAATAACACATGGTACATGGTGGGGAGGGAAAAATACAGCGTTAGTACGAATATAAGCAAAAGTCAGCGTACAAACAAAAAATACATTAAATAGGTCCTGCATATACAATGTTAGTTACGGTATCACGAAAAAGATGGTTGTCATTAATAGCAACAATTTCAGGGGGAAGGTGGTTCCACTCGCGAGAAGAACGAGGCAGGAACGACTGCGCAGCTGTGTTAGTACGATAGGTGATAATTCCAACCTTGTGACGGTGATCGACACGGTGAGCAAGGAAGGTGAACGAGCATAGCATCCGATTTCTTACCTTGCACAAAGGGGAGGTGAAATGCAAGTAAAGATGTGAAGGAACGCGGGCCGTAAAATGTAGTGACTGCGGCAGCTGTATATATATATTGTGCATCATCAGGCTGTTAAAGCATCACCCATGCACCATGCAAAATGGAATGAACCTGTGAAGAAACCTTTAGTTTACTTGTCTCCTTCTGAATTACTATGAGAACTCAGAAAAGTCTTTCTCAAACACTGAACGATAGCTGTTCTACCAATCAAGGTTATCATCAGAACAGATATTTCTATTCGAGGCATAACGGCTAAAGAAGCAAGATAAGATTTCCAAGATTACAACGAGCGAACGTGCGCGTGACAGTGTGCATATGCCGGCCTCTTTGATAACTGTTACCTCATGGGATACTTCGGTAGCTTCCTTTATGGTACCCCAGCCTAATAATAATAACATAATAAATCTTTTCAATCCTAGTTTTTCAGATGACGTGAATTCTGTATAATCAAGTGGCAATAAGTTTTCTACGCGTCTCGTGGGTATCACGAATTTTAGTTCCTACAAGATCTAGACAGCTTCGCCCACAACATGAGGCTTCAAGAATCTTTTTATAATATTGCCGCCACGAATAACTCTACCGCTCCTTCGTTTTCGAATAAGCGATTGACACCCCAAGTTTAGCGTGACAAATGCCCTGATCTACACAAAGATGTGGTGCAGGGTTAGTTAATCAAAGCACACAAAAAGAGCAACTGTTTAAGACCAATATTTCTACTGAAAAAAATGGGGCAATAAAGAGCCTGGCCAACAATTCTGTGACTGTCATCAAACAAGCTGACAAAAAAAGTGCCGTTTTTATGATTAATTGAGATGACTATACATCTGAGGCTTACAGACAGCTACGTGACGATACCTTCTACAGGCATTTAGAAATAATCCGCACCACTCACTTTAAATGTAACAAACAAGAACCTATCCGAACCCCCTGTTAATTAGCAGGACTTATCTGGAGATCTGTGTTCATATAAATATGAGATAAATGTTACAATGCCATAGACTTTGCTGATATGCTCTGGCGTTGCTCCGCGTTATGCAGCGAGAAGGAAAATACTGGAGAGCGATCGGACGCAGATTTGCACAGTACCACACTAGAGAGAGAATTATGGGCAGTCCAATGGCTCTGCTAAGCGGCTTAAAGGCTAGGCCTTCGGTCCCAATGTGGGAGCGGCCCTCTTCGCGCTAGTACACTAGCAGCACTACCTATTGCACCTTAATAAAGTTCTTTCATCCATCCTGTCATTCATCGAAGAAGAAATGACACAACTCATGTGTTGTCTTTGTCGGCGTTCTTGAGACACACAAGAGCTATAACCCGTTTGGCAGGTGCATTTTCAGTAAAGTATTTTTTTCTATGTCTTGTGCGCTTCAATGACGCCTGCGAAGACAACATTTCGAAAGTGGGGTCTTGCCATCCAATCCCCGCTGAGGGTACATGTGAGTTTTATCACTGCACAGAACTGGTATCCCTGACCCTAAGATGGAACGCACCGACTACAGAGGCGCCCCGCCGCAATGGTCTCGTGGTTAAGGTACTCGGCTGCTGACCCGCAGGTCGCGGGATTGAATGCCGGCTACGGCGGCTGCATTTCTAAAGGAGGCGGATATGTTGTAGGCCCGTGTGCTCATATTTGCGTGCACGTTAAAGAACCCCAGGCGGTCGAAATTTCTGGAGCCCTCCACTACGGCGTCTCTCATAATTATATGGTGGTTTTGGGACCTTAAACTCCACATATCAATCAATCAACTACAGAGGCAACCCGACTGGCGGTGGAGACACAGCATCTGGCCATGGTTACGCTATCTGAACTGGTGACACATTCCAAGCTCTCCAAGAAAAGGATTGACTACCAGAAACCCTGCTGGTACAACTGCCTGTGGCCGGCGCGGCGTAACCTCAACCAGAGCCAAAGTTCCGGGTGATTACCAACCTAAGTCGCAATACCAATGCCTTCCGTGGCTCCAAAGACGGTTTTGCAGCGCGTGAACGAGTCAAAAGCATTCGTGAAACATTAAATCTTCATAGATGGCCAGCTGCATACACGCTGGAAACTGCCAAGGCTTGATTGGTAAGAGCTGCCGAGGACTGGTACCGATCAAGAAGCTCCAAGATCACTTTGTGGAAAGAATCCGAGGTGTTCTTCCCTCGTACCTTTGTCAGCCAGACTCCTATTGCAGAATGGTGGCGCAGGATGCTAGAGTGCGTGCAGCAGCGTATTGAGAGCACGGCCGCCTACCTTCACTTTAAGGTGTGTCTGTGCCACGAAGTCATCTCGACTTTACAAATACGTGAGAACAAGTTATCTCGAAGTTGATGTCTCGTGAATTATGCACAATGCCCATAGGTAGGATGCATGACAATGTCGATGACCTACAGCACGACATCTTGAAGCTCGAAAGCATCGAACGGGAAATACAGGAGGTTTTCGGCACACGCAACCAAAGCTGCAAACCACGTTAAGTTTCAGAATGCGGCCTGCCCGCTACCACGACAAGAAAACTGACGACCGCCGTGAACCAAATAACGGAACCACGCCAAGCATTACCGCCCGTCAACCGACACGTCACATCAGAGACCGAAGTCTACGCGACAGGCCGTCGTCTGCTCTCAATAGGAAGTGCCCAGGCAGAAGCAGGTGACGCCCCAAATCTACACGAACTGGAAGTTGTGCCTGATGCGAACCCCAAATGACGAATGATCCCGTTTTTCAATCACGCCTCGCTACATGTCAAAAATTCCGGAGACAGTGAAGCACCGAAAACGAAAGTAGGCGAAGAACCGACGCCGAGTATGTCTGCCGGAGAAACAGTAAACCTGAAAGACAAAGAACTAGCCGAAGCTGAAGACAAGGTAAAGCAGACTAACTGCCGACCCGGTGCTGGGAGAAAATACAGTGAGGCGGAGAGAGTGAAGGGAAAACCGGAAACGGTAAAAGAAACAGCCGGAAAAGGCGGCGAAGAAAGAAAAAACAAGGAACAAGATGACGAAGCAGCTGACGGACAAAAGGCGACGCATAAGGATAAGCAGGAGGCAGACGGCGACATAGACTGAGAGACGCTCGTGCAGTGTTCGGCCTGTGGCGTTTTCGTGGCCTGTGTGGCGTTTGTAGCCTGTGTGGCTTGTGTATTTATTTTGTTTGAGTAAATTATTCTTTTTATTACGAGATCGAAGACAACACGTGGCTGATGGAAAGTTAACAGATAAGGACCTGTGTTTCTTGCTCCCGCTAAGTCCTTCAGCAGGAAGGTTCTATCATTACCAAGCGCTTAGGTAAGCAACCTTGGCAGACCAATAGTGTCGGCTATTGGTTCCCTTAGACGATTTCCTGTTTTGTTGACACCATCATTAGGCATATTCCGCAAACTTAGTCATCCTATATCAAAGACTGTCCATTTATTACTCAACATTGTAGATATACCTGATCATGAAGGATCCTTTTTGGTCACTCTGGATGTATGTTCCTTTTGCACAAACATTCCAGACAAGGACGCGATTCGAGCTGTTCGTGAGGAATACGAGCATTCGGGCTTTGACCATTCTATGGATGGCGCAACATTAGCAACAATACTGAACTTAATTTTCTTATACACTAACTTTAAATTCAACAAAAGAAGTGTTTCACTTGCGATTCAAACACGCTTTTTGAGGCATATATATATATATATATATATATATATATATATATATATATATATATATACATCATTTTATAAAAATCAGCATATGACGCTATTCGCTCACTGTCTTCACAATTGCGTTTTCGGTAGCCGCAGACATCTTGAGAAGGCTTGATAGGAAATCATTTAGAACTGTAATTGGGATAGTTAAACCGATTATCTTTAAATCATTGTAGTTCGACAGTTATTGAAATGATATAATTTAAGTTCCTGATGCGGA